CTAGAACGAAAATTAATTCATACAGTTTTGTTCAAGCTATACATTTTTTCGTATTACAATATCTTCAACATTTGTGTATATGGAGAGAAGAAGCTGCAAAATTAGCGTTTGGATTTAAAAAGGATTTTCTTTTATTTTAAAACCCTTTGTAAATAAAGTGTAAGTCTGTTTTGCTTTAAAATCAATTGCAATATTTCTTAATAAATGGGTATGTTCAAAATATTTGATTAAAGAATATATGTAATCCCAAATGTAACTAGGGTTTTAAAATGTCGAAATACTTAATATTTAAACTAATTTTTTTCCTCACACCAGAAGTATATTGCTTTCTTGATTTTTAGACTCTATTACAAATACTTCATCCTAATGTTTTTGATAATATTTAATTATACCTCGGGAGTACCTTTACATAGTTCAGTAAATATAAAGCCCACAATTTGTATATCAAATTATATACAACCAGTGAGATCCACTTGGGAATTTTAAGTTCAACCCAAGTCGGTCCTAAATTCTATATTTTTAATATATTTTTCTTTTAAAAGAATCCCAGTCACGATACATTTCACGATATATATTAGCTGTGACTATTTGAGATTTTAATCGATAGTTCGAACCACTGTGCGGCGCGGCGTGGCAACAACAGTGTTGCGAGTGTGAGGGCGCGGCTGCGGGCCAAAACGAATCTGGGAACCAGTTTTTAGTGGCAACAATTGTTGCAGCCCTTTTGCTCAAAACATGGGCACTAAGTAGCACAAAGCAATGAACTGTTGAAAAATACCTGAGAATCTTTTCCGGTGTGACTCCACAGACCTGTCTATACGAGTATGTGTGTATGTTGATCATTGTGCGTGTGTGCTGGTGTGTGAAGTTTTGTGTGGGCGTGTGTGCCTAGTGGTATGACTCAAAAACCAACAATGTTTTTTCGAAACTTGAAACTGCCGCAGCGTTTATGCAAACAACAACAGATAAAACGCAACTACGTGATGTTATCAGACACAAAAAAAAAAACACAAAAACAACAGCAAATGCCACAACAGTGAATACGACGCCCACAAATTAAACATTTGTTTGAAAATACATTTCATTTAAAATGCACAAAGCAAAAACAAAAAGCAAAAGTATTAAAAAGTATAAGTTGGGTAAAAGTTTTGCGGTTTGCGGCATTTCAAGGTACACATGATTGCAAATCGATGCAGCCCAATGCTGAAACTTGGCAACGTTGCCAGCGCAATAGAAATCGATAAGCAAATCAGTGCAAGCGTGAGAATCATACTACGAACACAGCAAATATTATAACGTCAGTTATAAACCACACTTTCAAGTAATAACTCAATTTTATACTAAACTGGACTATTTTCAAATTAAGATATTTTTAACTGAGGTTTAGATATTCTTTGCAGCGCCTTATAAGCAACTACCTACATACATCTTCCCAAATCGTACGTATTATTTGAGTGAAAACAAAACGCTTAGGTATAGAACCGAAGTCGTTTTATGCTATGTATTTGAAGGCTGAAAGATATACTAAAAAGTATATTTAGACTTTTCTAAGTGTAGTCTTGTCTATCCCCATGCTGATCAACATATATTTATTACAAACTATAGATATGCAAGTATATTCCCATTATTTTATATGAGAGTTTCAAGTCTATGGGTTTAGCGAAGCAAGAAAAATCCTCTAGCTTCGTACTATGAATAATATGTCGGAATACTTGTAGTATGATACAGCTTTTTTGTAGTACCTTAAGATAAATCACTAAAAAGATCGATTCTTGCCTTATCCAGAAAGTGGTTATATTTATAATTGAAAAAAGGAATATTTTGCTTAAGGCTTATGTAAACGCCTCCAAATTTGTAGAACAATTTATCAACAACGAACAACGAACATACGCTTGTGATTGATTGACTCAAGCTGCGATCATCTCATGCCCTGAGCGTTGGAAACTTTAACAAAAAGGTAAAATAATAAATAAATATATTAAATATTTCTCGAGAAATCAAGAGTCTATTGCTGTAGTGTTTAATTTTAGTTAGTTTGTCGTTATCGAACTTTTTGGGTTTTATTAAAAATATGAATAAATATATCATTATTTTTTATGAAACGCCCTGCTTTTTGAACTATGTTTGAAATGAAACATTCGCCGTAATCACCTGTAAAGCACATTTTCTTAATAGGTGCAGTTGGTCTAGTCTTAATCGTATATGCTATATATAAAGGCCCAGTTAACAATGCCCAACGACTTGCACTAATAGCCCGCAACATGCCACGGCTTTGGTCATCATTGCGTATCGCAGTGGTTGCCTCTTTCCGCCCCATTGCACCTTAGCACTTGACCAGTTACAACAATTACGGACACGCCCCACAACCTGCACTCTGTGCCCCACGGCCCACGCATATAGCAAGTATTTATGGGAATACTTGTACGTACATATAATCGTATAATATATATTATGTATGGTCTGCCTGCATTAAAGCTGATTTACAATTAGGGGTCACGTGTTATTATCATTAACGTTGCCGCGGTCGTTGATGGTGGTTGCGATTGTTGGTGTTTCTGCTGCCGCTGATGCAGGTAACTAATTTATTGTATACCTGCGCGTTGCGCCGACGATTTATATTTTCCATGAAAATGATGTATAATTTCACTTTGAGAGATTTCAATGGAAAACGCACAACAAAGCCAAAACGCGACACGCGGGCTTAGATGATTGCCTCTACAGAGGTTTACGATGCACAGACACACACACATTCCCGCTCAGGGATGCAAGGAAAACCAGTTACTTCTGCTAGGTGTGTGCGTGTGTGTGTCTGGGTGTGTGTTGAGGGCTTTTCCCAAGTGCAACATTGCTGGAGGAGACACACACTCGCACTCCGCGCACTCTCTCTTACATGGGTGTTGCAATTGGCCTCCAGCGTCTGGGGCAAATGCTTATCAAATTACCAACGTCGCGTTTCTGATCGTTGCTGACGTTTGCAGGGCCGCTCTCTCCCTCTCTCTCGCTCTCTCCCTATATATATGGCTCTTTTTCTGTTCAGATAAGATTGGCGCATATAACAAACTATATAGGTATGCGCATAAACACGTACATATATCAAGTACGGGTATTATAAATAAACAAAAAAACATTTTGAGGTCGTTTTTGCACAATTTCATATGCAGGGGTGGGCAGAAAAAAGATAAAGCCATATGGGAATACGTCTTCCATTGCCGGGTGCCGATTAAATATTTGCTCTCAAATATGATATCAGCTAAATTAAGATTAAGAATTACCTAAATATTAATGACTTAAATGATTTTATTATACTCTATACATGAAATGTACAAGAGTATTTAGTTAGTGATTATGAGTGCGTAGGTTCTTCATTCGTTTTTGATTACGATTTAGTACTAAGGTATTTATAAATATATTTGCAAGTCTCTCTCTCTCTCTTGCCAAATTCGACTATATATAATATTTGGAAGGACAAACGGAAATAGAATTAAAGGGAATTATTAAGATAACACAGATCACTGGTAAACATTATTCCCATTCGCACAGTATCCTGGAGGTTGTTAGATCAGTAGCATTTGGTCAGGAATCATAATTGTGTTCGTTACATTTTTAAATCGCTTTCTATTTGTATACTATTCAAATTTTAATTGATCTTCGCCTAGTCTGTTTTAAATGGTCTATAATTTGTCAAAACTTGACTTATATACTTTGTTGTAGTATAGTTGTAAGTAGACGAACAAAGGCGCTTTCCTATTAGTAGAGTAGTTAGAAGTAAAGGGTACTTACAGGCGTAATAGTGGAGACGTGCTGGGTCGATTCTTGTATGTCCTAAAGCCTATGATAAGATTTCAACGGAGCTATGTCTCAAGCATTCGTAACATTTGTAGCTTTCGAGAGCTCAAAGTCTTAGATCATTAAATAAGTTTCAATAAAAATATGGGCTGACAAATTTGAACAACTATTCCGATTTTGAATTGGTATCCTTAATTATGCCTGGTTTCTACAAAGTAACTATGGTTTTGTTCAAAAAATGCAATAAACTGAGAAAGGTTATTCAAATAAATGTTTTTTACAAAATGCTTTCGATTCCTCAGAATCACAATCTAATCAAAAAATAAACTTTATCTTCAATTAACTAAACGAGCAAGACAGCAGCTGTGAGGAGGACATAAAATCATTCTCGAGTGCTTTCATGATTTCCGTAATTGGGAGCTGCAATGATTGACTTTTAATTTTTTTGATACTGTGGTGGCCTATATGCCCGAAGCACCTTTTTCATAATCGCCATGGCGATGGATTTGAAGATTGAAGAGAATCTTGTATTCCAAATTAAGCCGATAGGTAATTACCAGTCTTTATTTCAGATACTGGAAAAATATACTTAAAATAACCTTTTTGTAATTGGTATACGAATTTCCGAACAAACATTTGTTACAAAATTATATCTCTTGAGTTTTTCTATGGATTAATAAATAAAATATAATTTATACGTAATATTAAAATTTCAGAAAGAGTGAGTCACAATTAACATAAAACTAAGGAACATTTCATTAATTTTATCAACATATATTTCAAGAGAGACAACACACAACGCATTTGTGGAGCTCGTGGCATATGGCAAGTAGATACATATTTCAGTTGCGATTACGACCTCAAATGCAGTTAAAAATTCTTTGCACTTGTTGCTTTTATCACAGTGTGTAAGACAAGTTTCAGCAATAATAACACACAGGGCCAACAAGCCAGCGAAAATGATATGAAATAACACCAACAAGAATATCAACAATTGGAGCTCGCGTAAAAATGCATCCAAAAAATGCAAGTGGCTCAGCGAAAAATTAGAATGTGCAATGGTGTCAAATGCATAACTCAATGTTGTTGTTGTTGTTAAATTGTCACTCGTCCTCTCCTTTCACACACTGCCACTATCTCTCTCTCTCTCGCTGGCGCTAAAAACATCCTGCTAATGCTAACGTATGCATGTACAAGTATGTGTGTGTACTCACCTGTTGCTAAATAAATTAATATGAAGAGAAATATCCATTGGGGCGCTGAAATGGCGCGCTTGAGCATTGGCTTCGACGTAAACGTAAACGCTGACGGCGACGGCGACGCAGACGCTGAGGCCGACGTTGATGTTGCCGTCATTTGAGCTGCGCTTTTCGTGCGCGCACGACTTAGCAAGCGATTTGTTGTTTTTTGCTGTTTTTGTTGCTGTTGTTGCCGTGTGACGTATGATGTCGCTGACGCATAAACGGCCATAGTCGTAGTTACCTTGTTCGGAATGGTTATATCGGAAAGCAAAGGGCCTTTTTTCTAGTCAGTCAGAGGACCCAGAATTCGTATTTGGATTCGTTGATGTTATTTTCTTTATTGCTTTTCGTTCGCTTTTCTCGCTTTCCATTAGTATGTGGCCTAGAACAGGTTTTAATTTTCATCTAGCCATGAACAAAAAAAAAACTAAACACACTGTCGCTGCTTTTGCTTTAACAACAACATACACTTTCATGCGTGCGACACTTTTGAGCTTTAATTTGAATATATTTAAACCACTTTTTTCAACTAGCCATTTTTTTTATACATATGTATGTACATGTATAGTATATTGGTAAGAACACTCATACACGAAAAACACTCGCGTATAAATGAGTTGGCTTCAATGCTGAGGCAGCGGCTGTTGGCTTTCTACTATTGTTGTTGACTGCCCTTTTGAACTGCAGGCAGCATTGAGCCCAACCATACATTGGAGCCCAGTTGCATTGGCTAACACGCACACACACATACACACTGAACGCTTCTTTTCACTTGCATGCGCGCATAGAATGACAAAACAACAACAATGCCTGGAAAAATGCCCGTGTTGTTGAACGTGCCGTACGCACGTCAGATTCGGCCGAGAACAAAATGCGAACTAAAATGCGCGCCGTGTTTGAAGTAAAGGAGGGCTTTGAGTCAGCGCTCGCTTGATGCAGCGCTCGTTGTCAGACCTAGACTGCTTGGCTGTGAGTGCGAGCGAGCTAAATGCTATGTGCTGTCAGCGGGCGCAGGGCGTGTGGGTGTAGAAACAACAGGTAGCAAAGGCGCGTGAGTTGGGATTTTGACAGGTGCTAGTGCTGCCAACTTGTTGCGAATTTTTGGCATTTTCTTGCGCCAAGTACAGATCGCTATTAGTTAAAATTCTAACTAAACAGTAAAGGTATTCCTTATGGCTCATCATTATTTGATTTGAGTACACAAAATTACAACTGAATCAGAACTCGGGACGACCGCTTTTAAAATGTGCACTCTAGTTGATTTATTTGTGGCATATGTACCTTACAAGTTTAATGAATTTTACAAATAATAAGTGAACGTTTTACTGGACATCAATGTAGCATTCGCGACACAAGCAATAAAGGTGAAGATTACCGAATTACAGCAAATAAATTGCCCACTATTATTTTCCGCATTTCGAATTCCGGGTATTGCGAATAGCTGATCGGAAAATCAGCTAAAAATCTATTGAAATTGTATGATGTATTAGAATAACCGTTATCAATGCATATTTGGCCACTTCATTCCATTTATTCGAATTATCAATCACTTTATTTTACTTATTCAAGCATCTACTTGTATGTATATTTGATTACAAAAAGAAAAAGTTACATGAAATATATTGTTAGTTCATTGAAAAATACTATAAACAAGTGTACATACATTTTTACCAATCTTTCAAGTACTAAAATATTGCGAGCATAATGGAACTAACTTAAGGGAGCTAATGAATAATGAAGAATAATTTATCTATAGTCTGCTCTTATTATAAATTTATTCAAGTTCCTTTATTTTTATAACCTGTACCCAAAGGGCAAAAGGGTATATTAGTTTTGTGCGAGTGTACATGGAACACACAGAAGGAGGCGTGGCAGATCCAATAAAGTATATGTATTCTTGATCAGCATGACAAGCCGAGTCGATATTGCCATGTCCGTCCGTCTGTCTGTCCGTCTGTCTGTCTTCCTGTCTGTCTGTATGAACGCAAGGATCTCAGAAAGTATAAGAGCTAGAATAACCAAACTTGGTATCTAGATTCTCCTGAGCCCGAGAAAGGACGAGTTTGTTCATTTTTTAAATAATTTTTGTCTTTTTGTTGGGGTGGTACAGGTTATTTAAGAGTTGAGCCTGCTCGACTTTAGCATTCCTTTCTTGTTAAATAATATTACATTATTGCAATTTGTGCTAGTGTGTTCTATTCAAACAAAAAAACAACGCATTGGATAATTGTGAATGGATGGGAATATTGTGAATTGACAATTAGCGCTTCGATTCGTTAGTGGATCATTGTGACTGCGCAACGAACGTTACAAAAACAAAAAATAACGTATATAAGTGCTTGTTAATTTTCGATTATGTGTTTAGTTTATGCATTTGACACAAATATGCACATGAGCATTAAACGCATTGCATAAATGTCGCCATAAATCACAGCACACGGGGACATGGATAATGCAGTCCATATGCAAATCGACCGGCGATAAAACAAGCGCTATCATCAGTTGCCGCAAGTCGTTGAATTTTTGGAGGTCTAGGTCTGTTTACCTATAAATGGGCAACAACCGGCCTCAAATGGCAACATTCGGAATCAGTCAGTCACGTAATGGCAAAGTTACAACGAGCGCTGGCAATTTTACTTTTGCTCTTCGGAACGACCTTTGCCAGGCCCAGCGACGATTATGGCGATAAGGATACAGACGAGCTGATCGATCTATCCCGGCTGGGCACGCGGGTTTTTGGCAATCCGGATAGTGAGACAACAGGCGCATTGGTAGAGGCACACAACGAGAAATCCTCACAAAACCCCGAGGAGCTGGGCACTTACTACGAGGGCGATATACTCATACCGCTAAGCAATCGCGAGCCGCGTTATAATCTCACACGCAATGGCATTCGAACGCAAAGTTCTCGTTGGCCCGGTGGTATTGTGCCCTACGAAATCAAAGGTCAGTTTAGCACGCAGGAGCTGCAGAACATTCAGCATGCGATCAACGAATACCACAGCAAGACCTGTGTGCGGTTTAAGGCGCGTTCCAACGAACGCGATTACATTTCGATTGTGAGTGGCAGGACGGGCTGTTGGTCCAGCATTGGGCGTTTGGGTGGACGCCAAGAGGTGAATTTGCAGTCCCCCAACTGTCTGCGCACCCGCGGAACCCCCATTCATGAACTCATGCACGCCCTTGGTTTCTTTCACGAGCAGAGTCGTCACGAACGCGACAGATACGTCAGAGTGCTGGACGAGAACGTCAAACCGGGCATGTTGGTGAACTTTGAAAAGTCCAGTCCGAGCAAAGAATACGGTTTTGGGGTGGAATACGACTACGCCAGCGTCATGCATTATTCTCCCACCAGCTTCTCGAAAAACGGCAAACCCACATTGATGGCCCTTCAAAGCAATGCCAGTTCTCGTTTAATGGGCCAACGCAATGGATTCTCCAAGGGCGACGTGCAGAAGATCAACGCCATGTACAGATGCAAGCGATGAATAGTTTGATTTGGATTTTTATTTCGAATATATACAATTATATTTTGCATATTTATATTTATTCTTGTACGCTACGGTTGCTGCTCCTCTATTGGTGCGCTTCATCTTTCCTAGCAGTGCTAGCGCTCCTTCCTTACTAATGATGCGGCAGGTTCTTGTTCGTCTCGAAGAAGACGTTGCCCTGCATGTTGAGCTCCTTGCAGAGTGTGGAGAAACGTCTGATGGCCGTATACGTGCCGGCATCTTCAGATTTATTGCATATAGAAGTACATTCATATATAAAGTGCTTGTAATTGGGAGGGGGGCTTAACACAAAATCCTCATGCATGCCGAATCTAGTGTTAATTGATTGCGTTAGTTTTGTGGTTGTTTTCTTTTTTTTTTATTGCTCCCACGCAGCTGATCATGTTAGTCGGGGGCTTAATGCGTTCTATATGTGTATCAGTGCGGACGCGCTTTGCGTAGTAAATGGGGCATGTCCTTACCTCCTGCCATGGCACCACTGCTGCCGCTGCTCAAATCAAGGTTCATAAAGAGCGACATGTTGCCTGTGGAGCCGTATAGCGAGCGATTGTTGAGGAAATCGCGAATATGCTGGACTATCAGATCGATGGCCACTGAAAGTGTATAGGAAAAGCAAAATACTTGACAATGGGTCTGTGAAATGTTCGAACTGTTCAGTTGTGATTAGCAAATGATATCTAAGATTGCAACATAATCAACAAGAAAGCTCGAAAGTGTAGCTCCAAAATTTGAACGTACCTTTTATGTAGAGACACTCGATTCCCACAGCTCTCGAGAGAATTCAATACAAGTCTGATATCAAACACTTACGCTACATTTCAAATGTGTATAGGTTCCTATACGAGTAGGTGACATCTCAAGGTATTACGGGCCGGTATTTCGCTAAGTTTTCTTTGGTGAGTGTGTGTTGTGTGCTTAACAAAAATTGTTAGCTACTTGCGTACTTATAAAATTCTTAGATAATACATTAAACTAATTTTCTACTACTAGGTAACGCCCTTAATTACAATGCAGATACAACGTATTATTCAGTAGACTATTTTCTTTAAAAAGCTTATCCATTAGGAAATCATTGTTGCTATATATGGCTTTAACAGCTTGCCTAGTAAATGATTTACTCGGCCGACCTTATATTATATGACAATCCATTCTATATAACACATAACTGTTCTTCAGAGTGTAGGTATGTGTTACAAATTTACCTGTAAATTGGAAAATATATTCCTTGCATTACATTGGAATCTCAGTTTAGTTACATTATTTAAAAATAACTCTCAGAAATGTTACTTTTTGAATAGAATGGCCTTTTCACATGATTCCAGCGCATTTACTTTCAATGTGGTCAACAATTAAAACTTATTTAAACTAATTTTCAGCATTAACTATTGCATACCTTATTAATAAAACCATTAGTTTGAGTGCCCATTGTTAGTAGACACGAAGGGATAACAAATTATTTGCGTGTTTGTGAGTTTTATTGATTTTGTTTTGTGTTTATTAATATACTAGACTAACCAAGGTTAATAGTTTGAAGAAACATTAAGGAACTTTTGCATCGAAATGTGCAGACTTTCCAGACAACAGTCTGGGTCTTGAAATTGGGGTCGTGTTATGATAGTTAATGGCGCTTAGAAATAAACTGTAGACGTTAGAGTTAAATACAGGTAGTTAGGCATATATATATATACCTGGTTTTTGGGTTTTCTGTATAACTAATATTTTCAATTATAGTGCTTACAACAATAGATTAAATGAATTCAATAGAATGAATCGAAGGGATAGGGTACCAAGGGACAGTTATTGGTAACAAAAGCATTACAAAGAAACGCATTTAGTACAATTACAATACATACCACAATGTATTATCATTATTATCTGGATATTATTATATTTGTTTTAAACTTATGCTTAGTTAATGTAAGTTGTGACGATCGAGAGGGTCGACGTTTTGTGGGGCACTGAAGTAGTAACTAGCGCTGAATTGCGATTAGTACAAGCATTAAAGCCTGCTCTTTAGCACTTGGATGCTGGTTTTTGTTAGATTAGATTAACAAATAGGTTTGGTAGCTTTTGGAAATCGCAACAAATTTAATGATCACGCTTCATTATGGACGGCGTAGTATAATTTCTAATTGTGTTGTAGAGTTGTGCGTTGTTGGTGGCGGCGAGAATTTCCCCAATATGATGAACAATGAGATCAATGGCAACTGCAAGAAATACAATAAAACAACAGAAACAAAAAACAAACAAGAAACGAAAAGTAGAAATGTGGAAAGTAAAACCGTCAAGCAATATTCAAATAGAAAGATTATTGTCTCAAATAGGTAGTAGTAATAGGGGCGTTCGGCCAGCCAGTTGTTAATAATAATAGTTGGCAATAAACAATAAGACCGAACTTTGTTGCATTGCAAGTTAAAGCTACAGCATTGGAACTAAACCATACATACAAGGATATATCTCACATAAAAGTTAAAACCAACTAAACTCTACAAAACGCTTAAGTTTCGTGTATAAGTGAATGAGTGTACAAATAATATGATAAAACTAAAGCGTTGCGTGTAGGCGTAAGTAGACAAAGAACAAAGGTCGTACCTGTATTATCGGCACCGCGTGGTATAATAACGTCCGCAAACTTTTTTGTCTGCAATCAAATTTGTGGAAACAATAAGAGAATCGAATCTAAAATGAACAGAAATTGCAATTTACCGGCGAGCAGAACTCTTCAAAGGCGGGCTTTACGAAAGTCATGTACTGAGTGAGCACAGCGTCCAAATCGCGACCTCGCTCGTTGATATCACGTGGCACTGCAATAAAATTCAATTAATTCTGATAAAATAATGCGCACCACCGGCCATATGGCTGTTAAAATATGTATACCGCGACGTGCCAGACGCGTATCCGAATCGGTATCCACAAACAACTTCATATGAAACAGATCGCGAATTTTTGGGAAGTAGAAGACCAATATGCCTTCGAATAGGACAACGTCCGCCGGATAAATGACCAGCATGTTTTCAAAATCCCTGAAGTAAGATTCTCATTACACACAAAAGAAAACTGCTTGTGTAATTGATTTGTGCACTTACAGCGAATTGGTGCAGTAGTTGTAGCTAGGAATTTCCACCTTATTGCCCTTCAGTATGCACTGCAGTGTCTCGTACATGAGGTCCTCATTAAAAGCGTCGGGATGATCGAAGTTGAACATTCCCCTCTGTGCCTTAGCCTTCTCCGTTGGTGTTAATTCGCGATAGAAACTGTCCTGGCTGATGGCAACCACCTGGCGTTGGGTATGATCCATTTCAGCCTGGCCCAGCTGTTCCATAATCTTGGTGCACACACTCTTTGGAGAATAACAATGCGTTTTTAGTTATTAAACCAAACGAGAGCAATATGCTTAGGAAGGGTTTGGTTTTTACCGACTTGCCGCTGGCCGTGCCGCCCGCCACCCCAATAAGAAAGGGCAGGCGCTGGGATTGAGTTTTGTTGAGCTGTTCCATGTGAAGGCAACGTGCTAAAGAGGCAAATGCGATGGTAAACTACAAAAAAATAAATTGAGAGAAAACCCTTTGTTTTGCGCGTGGTAAGAGACGAAGTATCGGTATCGGTTGGCTAACAGCTGTTCGTTGGCAGTGCTGCCAAGTTGCAGCGAAACGCAACAAAAGCTGCCTGCTATAAAAATGATTTAACGTATTTTGTTTTTTCAATTTCTAGCAGCTACGTTTATTTGCACTTTTTTGATTTATTATCTTTGTATAAAGCCGCAACTAAAGCTGCCCCACGCCCAGAGCCATCATCAGATGTGAAAAACTGCACGCAGACATCTGTTCCAACATATTTCTTCACATTATCCATCAGCAAGTCGTGATATTTTGGATGACGGCGGTAAAGACTGCCGTCTATGCCCACCGATAGATCACAAATTTCCATTTTATTTATTAACGTAACAAGACCACATGCAACTAGTTTGGCCGACCGCGTCGAAATCGTTTCGCATATATAACGCAAGCAGGCTTTATCTTCATCGGACGCATCATTTAGGCAGCACTCATTCAACACCTCGTTGCATTTTTCGAATATCCCGGGCGGATCAGATTCGACTGCCGAAATGAATTTCGTTTCAAACTTCCAATTCTCATGCATAATGGACGATTCTATGCCGTTAAAAAGCTTCCCCTCTTCCATCAGCTTCACAATTATGATGCGAACCAATTCTCCCAGATACATACCCGAAACGCACTTCTCAAAGATCTGTTTCCCTTGATTGGGGGTCTGCTTGTCGACCATTCTGTCGAACGACGTGAGTATATTGTCAAGCACGCCATTGTCTCCAAATGCACCCCACTCGCAATTAATGATCATGTTGGGCTTTTGGCTGGTTTGGTAGTCCTCGAACATCTCCACATTACATGTCTTCTCCACGTAGCAGGCGTTGCAACCTGTCCCAACAATGAGGCCTATGCGACAATTCTTGTGGTTGTAAGCGCATGATATAAGCGCGCCGGTGGTATCATTAATTATGGCCACGATATTGACTTTAAGGGTGCCACGACGTGAAATGGACTCTTGCAGCAGCTTCGTTACATTTTTCCCCACAACTTCGTCGCAGCTAAAACCTTTCGTCCAAGTCACCAGATTAGCCTCCGCTAGACTCAGTTGCCTCATGGGAAACGAAAAGGTAAATCCCAACGACAGTTCCTTATCTGAAAGTTGTTTCTCTTTCACGAAATTGTCCAGGCATTCAGCAATAAAATCAAATAGAGCAGAAGCTGGACACGCCATCAATGGTTGCGCGATTTGAAACGCTTGCGTCTGAATATCTACATCGTCCGGTCCGTTAATGCTGACCAGGAGCACTCGAAAGTTTGTTCCACCCAAATCGAGAGCTAAGTACTTTCCTCGTTCATTTTGGGTCGGCAGATCCTGTACATAGGTGGGCCAACATTTTACTGTGGACCGGCTATGCATTTGCTTTGAGAGTCCCTTTTGAATTTCATTCGAGAGTTTATCAATAACTTCCTGCATCTGGCATTCCGACAATTGGAACTGCTTGCAAACATTGTGTACATCTGGAAATTTGGATTGAAAAGATTGCCCGTTCCATAAACTATAACGAGCTCTCAGATGTTCGCTGCTTCTAACCTGAGGTGTTGAAGAACACGAATTTGGATTTCGGATTTGAAATTGTAAACGATGGCAGCCGACGATAAATTTTGATAAAATCATAATGATTATGACAAATATTTGACTCAAGGCCTTCTGGGATCGATTTCGGAACTGAGGAATATGGTTAAACTCGTGCACTTTCCATCCATCCGATAGTTTGTCCGCCTGTGTGATGGTATGAATAAAAAATATTGAAAACTCTACGATCTTGCAAGAGATCCCAAGCCCAAGAAGGGCTGTTTTTCTCTATTCCAATTCACTGGATTGTAGCTACAAAAAGATACATAAGTTTAACTTTTCGGAAAACTGTCGGGTTGACAAGGCATTCAGAATTTTTCATATTCGATTTTCTTTGCAAAATCCCTTCACTTTAACAGCTAAAAGAAAACTGGAAGTAGTATTCATTAGTCTAGGCGTTGTTATAGTTTAAAAGTTTTTTATTTCTTTAAATATTGCACTTCTCCCAGCCCTATTCTATAATCTCTCGGTTTTAGTAATTAATAGCTTTGATTTGGAAGCAAGAATTGTTGCTTAGACAGTGTACTTGGGTACTATGAGGCCGTTCCTTTATTCCTTTGTTCTCTACAAAACATAAAGGGAGTAAAAGACGAATGTATAAATTGTAAATAAAATGTATTTACTCTTCTAAAGTGTATTTGAACTCAATACTTCGCTTCTTGGCGTATCTGTTTGGGAATTGGGTTAGCTGATGGAGTTACTTTTGGGCTGCAACTGCTGCGATCAAAGCTGCGCCACGTCCAGAGCCATCCTCAGAGAGAACAAGCTCAAAGTTAAAACACGGGCCCAACAATTTCTGCATAAACTCGATCAATAGGTCGTGATATTTGGGATGAAAGCGGTAGACACTACCATCGATGCCCACAGATAGGTCCTTGTTATTCATTCGTTTTATGAGGCAAGCCAATCCGCAGGCCACCAATTTGGCTGAGCGACGGGATATAGTCTCGCATATGTATCGGACACAGGCCTTGTCACTATCAGGCGCACATCTAATGCCGTATTCATCCAAAACCTTGCTTGTCTTACAGTATGAGCAGGGCGGATCGGCCTCCACCTCCGACAGGAATCTGGATTCAAAGGTCCACTTTTGTTGCAGCAATTGCGAGTCCACGCCCTTAAAAAGTACGCCTTGCTCCTTCAACTCGACCATGATGAGACGTACAAGCTCTCCCAGATACATGCCCGATATACATTTCTCGAATGTCTGTCGCCCTTTATTTGGTGTCGATTTATCCACTACCTTGTCGTACGGAGTGCGGATGAAGTCAAGGACTCCGTTGTCTCCGAATGCTCCCCACTCGCAATTAATGATCATGTTTGGCTTTGAGCTCGTTTGATAGTCCTCATATACCTGGGCATTGGCTGTTTTCTCCACATAGCACGCATTGCAACCTGTTCCCACGATCAGTCCAATGCGGCAGTTGAGTTTTTTGAAGGCGCAGGACATCAGAGTGCCTGTCGTGTCATTTAAAATAGCGACGATGTTAATTTTCAGATTTCCGCGGCGAACGATAGCCTCCTGCAGTAGTTCGACAACATTTCTGCCCTCCACACCTTCGCAGCTGAACCCTTTCGTCCAGGCAACTAATACGCCGTTGGCCAGACCCAATTGTTGCACCGGAAATGAGAAAGTGAATCCCAATGGCAGTTCCTCGTTTTCAACCTTCTGCTCTTGGACGAAGTTCGCCAGGCACTCGGCTATGAAGTCGAATAGGTCTTTACCGGGTCCCTTCATCAATGACTGTTCCATGGCATAAATTTTCGACTGAATATCCACTTCGGTCTCACTTTTCAAGTCCACAAGCAGGACACGGAAGTTTGTTCCGCCCAGATCAAGTGCCAAATACTTTCCACGTTCCTGTCCTGTTGGCAAATCCTGCACGTAGGTAATCCAGCACTTGACAACGGCACGAGGATGAGTATCCTTCGTTAGACCCATTGTCATTTCCTCAGTCAATCGTGAGACGACCTCTTGCATTTGCGCATCGGATAAATCGAACTTCTTGCAAATGCATACTGCCTCCGGGTAAACATTAGCCATTTTATCGCGCAAATCTTAGCCAAAACGGTACTTTTAATTTAGAAATTTTTTTGTATTTTATAATTTGGAAGTTAGGGCCAAATTTTTGAATTGTGCTTGACAAGCTAATAATTCTGATACTAATAGAACTTGATATAAAAGTCGCAGATACGTCGATTGAAACTTTGGAGTATTTTCAGAATTCCGAATTGATGTGGCTATTGACGATATACTCGTACTATTTCAACTTCTAAGATCCTAAATTTGTTTGATTCACAAATCAAATACAGTGCAAGCCAGTTCATTTGTTATTAGAAAAAAGCCAAATTCCAACGTCCAAAAAGTTGTGGCAGTCCACATACTATATGATATGATATGATATAATATGATATGATATGATATGATATGATATGATATGATATGATATGATATGATATGATATGATATGATATGATATGATATGATATGATATGATATGATATGATATGATATGATATGATATGATATGATATGATATGATATGATATATGATATATGATATATGATATATGATATATGATATATGATATATGATATATGATATATGATATATGATATATGATATATGATATATGATATATGATATATGATATATGATATATGATATATGATATATGATATATGATATATGATATATGATATATGATATATGATATATGATATATGATATATGATATATGCTATATGATATATGATATATGATATATGATATATGATATATGATATATGATATATGATATATGATATATGATATATGATATATGATATATGATATATGATATATGATATATGATATATGATATATGATATATGATATATGATATATGATATATGATATATGATATATGATATATGATATATGATATATGATATATGATATATGATATATGATATATGATATATGATATATGATATATGATATATGATATATGATATATGATATATGATATATGATATATGATATATGATATATGATATATGATATATGATATATGATATATGATATATGATATATGATATATGATATATGATATATGATATATGATATATGATATATGATATATGATATATGATATATGATATATGATATATGATATATGATATATGATATATGATATACGATATATGTTTGGTTTTTAAAAAAGCCAAAATCTCTATTCCAGGGGAAATGTATCAGAAAATATAAGCCGCCAGTTTAGCCGAACCTCCAGTACGAAAGCAATACTCCAAAAAAGACAACATCTATATTCCAGGGGAAATGCATCAGAAAATAACAGCAACTATCAGAAAGTCTAAGCTCCAAGCGTATATAACAGGCAGGAGAAGGCGTCGAAATCCACATATGATCAGATAGAGGTAATGTTAATAATATGTATACTTCTTGCCCTCGCTACGGTCTAACACAATTTGAAATTGGCTCCACTCTGATTGTAGTTGAGAAATATTTAATAAATTAAGAATTTAGACTTTATAGCCCTATGTTGTCGGACAATGCCCCAAAAACTTAAGCCACCCGAATGTTTAAATACAATTTTTCCCCCTAATGTAACACCACTTCTGTAGCGAGTGGTACATCAAAGTATAATTCACATTTTCAGCAGTATCTCTGCTCAACTAACATTAAAAACAATTATTATTTAACCACAAAACCAATTCAGGAAGGATTCGCATATGTTAGCAGCTTGGAATCGTGTTTTGTAAATTCGGATTAAAAGACTGTTAAAGTTTAAGAGAGCTTTTATCTTAGGAGTGCTATAAAGAAACTTTAAAAGTCGCTAAACAATCAACTGATATGAATGCTAATCCTCATATTCGGCTAATGTTAAATATTTGGGACTTGAGGTTAATCTTAAAAATATTTTTGAAACTTAAAAAAAACAACGCAAGTTTTAAAAGAAAGGCTATTTTTTTGTTACTTAGGAACGTTTCATATAATGGAAGCAACTGGACAGAATCCAATAAGTGATCCTGTTTTAATTGCACACAACACGAAAACACGCCCTATCCTGAAATTAAAAAAAACCATAGGTTTTTGAGCATTAGTTGGATAAAAATTTCTCTAATTAGTTTCAATTTTTGTTGTAGGCAGTTATGGACAATACAATATCCTTCTATAAAAGGCACTTCAACGCTGGTTGACGAAAAGACAAGGATGCGGGTGGCATGAATATATAGGAATATGCACATGATGAAGTTATTGAAATGCTTCCGATCTTAAAGAAAATACAATTCTAGGCATCAATTCAAATAAAATGGAATGAAGTAGAAATCACTTTGAAGAACTTTTCCAATTATTGACATTTTACTGGAAGGCATGTTAGTTAAAGGGCTCAACTGTGACCTAATTAATAAAACAAGATATTAGGTGTTACCCTCTTTTTGTAACGTGTACTCTTAGGGTAAAAAGGGTACATTAGGTTTGTGCAAACTATGTAACATGCAGAAGGAAGCATGACGAGAAATCGATCTAGACATGGCCGTCCGTCCGTCTGGATGAACGCAAGGATCTCAGAAACTATAAAAGCTAGAATAACCAAAGTTGGTATCCAGATTCTCCTATGCCCTAGAAAGGACGAGTTTATTTATTTATTGTTTTTTTTTTTTTTGATTTTCCTCCCTTCCCGCGCTATAGAATTTCGTGAATAGCGTCCACATTCCAAAAGCTACCTAAACCAAACTTTGTACACATAATTTATACATAATAATAATCTTTTGTTTCATCTAATCGGTTCATGCTAAGAAAAGTTATTAGCGAAACAATTTCACTCCGGTACTACGCCCACAAGCTGCAGCATCAAGTTCGCTGCTTCTCCTTCCTTTTGCTTCTGCTAGAGGCGCATATACCTCAGTGCCGGAAGTTTACCTGGGTACAGGGTATTTCACTGTCGGGCTTGCTCGACTGTAGCGTTCTTACGCATTCTTCTATACTAATGCCCCAATTCTAAGCTCAAGGTTTTTTGTGAAGAGACAGAACTTGACAATGCAAAATGGATTCTTTAAAATAATGTCGAGATGTACAACGCCTGCGCCGGATGATTAGGTCGTTCATGGAAACAGGGCTGATGATCTGAGCCTGTTCTCAACTAACTTGACCTTTCTTTTTTCCTTCACATTGTGAAGGGATCATTACATAGTATCATTACGGCTTGGAAGTATAACTTCTTCTTGAATACCTATGATTTATGACTGGAACACACTGCAGTGATCCGTAAGCCTGAAGGCTTTTTTGATGCCAAGTTCTTCGAAAAAGACGCCCCCGCCTACGCGGTTGTCTAGGTTCTAAGATAAGCTGAATAGATTTTGATTGAGTTGATGTGGTCTGGAGGGCCAGAATCCCATTCTTCCTTAGAGGGAATGATGGTGGGAAAGGGAGTGTGGAGATACTGCTTGGGGGTGCAGTAGTCAGTGACTGAGCGGATAGTGACATTTCCTCTCAGGATGTGTGGAGATACTGCTTGGGGGTGCAGTAGTCAGTGACTGAGCGGATAGTGACATTTCCTCTCAGGATTTTGGTATGACCACTAGTTGGTTTCTCTCATGCGAAGAGCCGCCAGCATGACCAGAGTTGTCCTCAATATCAATAGTAACTAGCTGTTACTTTATACTTGTCATTAGTATGCTTGGGAAAATGCTTAGCCTATCTACATACATTCCTTTTATTGCGCGCCTACCAATGGTGTAGAGCAGAGTATTCACTTTTATTCCTTTTTGAGCTTCTATAAAGGGAAATTTGTTGTTAGTCAGGATTGTAATAGGTACTATGGCTATGGCTCATAGATATGGGGGACACTCTTGTGAAATTTTCTGGCATTTATGATACAGAAACTTCATATACGGTAGGCAAGCTATAACTAAAGCGGTTTTAGAACTAAGTTACTCTTAAACTCAATAAGTACAATAAGTATGCAAAATATATGCCCATATGTATGTATATAAAATATTTAAAAGAGCAGGTAAAGGCAATGCGACATTTTTACGTATGAAATAGGTCCAATGGAAGGCCATCCCGTTGGCAGAGGCGGCTTGTTATCTTCTATAGAGTTCAAGTTGGCTTCTACTTTTGAGATGCGACTGCTGCAATCAACGCTGCGCCACGTCCAGAGCCATCCTCAGAAAGGACAAGCTCAAATTTAACAGCCGACTTTAATAGCTTGTTCATATACTCCGTCAACAGGTTATGGTATTTGGGATGAAAGCGATAGACGCTACCATCGATGCCTACGGACAGGTCATTGACACCCATTCGATTTATTAGGCACACTAGCCCACAGGCAACCAATTTCGCTGATCGACGAGATATGGTCTCGCAAATATATCGCACACAGGCCTTGTCACTATCGGTTGCACCTCTAATGCCGCATTGATCCAAAATTTGGCCCATATTACGAAATGAGCCGGGCGGATCGGACTCTGCTTCTGATAGGAATTTGGTTTCGAATTTCCATTTTTGTTTTAGAACTTGCGAGTCGATGTTCTTAAAAAGTATGCCCCTCTCTTTCAGATCGACTATGATTAGACGAACCAACTCGCCCAGATACATGCCCGATATGCATTTCTCGAATGTCTGTCTCCCTACGTTGGGCGTCTGTTTATCCACTATCTTGTCGTACGGAGTGCGGATGAAGTCAAGGACTCCGTTGTCTCCGAATGCTCCCCACTCACAATTAATAATCATATTTGGCTTAGCACTCGTTTGATAGTGTTCGAACACCTGGGCATTGGCTGTTTTCTCCACATAGCACGCATTACAGCCGGTTCCCACGATCAGTCCTATCCGGCAGTTGTGTTTTTTGAAGGCGCAGGACATCAGAGTGCCTGTTGTGTCATTTAAAATAGCGACAATATTAATTCGAAGATCTCCGCGCCGGACGATAGCCTCCTGCAATAGTTCGACAACGTTTTTTCCAACAACACCATCACAGCTAAAACCTTTCGTCCATGTAACTAAAATACCCTTTGTGAGACCCAATTGTTGCACCGGAAATGAGAAAGTAAATCCCAAAGGCAGATCCTCCTTGTCAACTCTATGCTCTTGAACGAAGTTTGCTAGACACTCTGCAATGAAGTCAAACAGGTCCTTGCCGGATCCCGTCATCAAGGCCTGTCCCATAACGTAACTTTTCGACTGAATATCCACATCGTATTCACTTTTCAAGTGTACAAGTAGGACGCGGAAGTTTGTACCGCCGAGATCAAGTGCCAAATACTTTCCACGTTCCTTCCCGGTTGGCAAATCCTGCACGTAGGTAATCCAGCACTTGATTACGGCTCGTGGATGAGTCTCCTTTGTTAGACCCATTGACATTTCCTTGGTCATTCGTTGGACAACATCTTGCATTTGCTCATCGGACATATCGAACATCTTGCAGATGCTTAATGCCTCCGGGTAAATACTTGTATTAGCCATTTTATCCCGCAGTGCTTAGCCTAATTGGTTTTAAAAACTGTTAATATTTATTAATTTAGATGTTGAGGCCAAACTTTTGAATCGTGTTCGGGAAACACAAATAATTTCGAAACAATAGTACATGATATATAACTCAGAGATAAGTCGATATAAGAGAGATAAGAAAGAGTGATCGAGTGATTTAAGAGACTTGCATGGTTTCACGGGCTTTCGAAGTGCTGCGGTTTTTGGCCATGACCGCCAGACCGGCGACTATTGCGGCGCCCACACCTGCGCTATCTTCTGCCACAATGATCTTAAACCTGTTCGACGGATTGACCAATTTTAGCGCCTCCTTGTTGAGTGTTATAGAGTAGGTGGGATGCAAGCGATAAACACCGCCATCGACGGCAACAGATATTTCCGCATAGTCCATTTTATGGATAAAGCACGCCAAGCCACAAGCCACCAATTTGGCTGAGCGAGCAGTAATTACCTCACAGATATAGCGCACACAAGCCAAATCCTTTTCCAGACAATTTCGCATCCGAAACTTGTCCATTACCTCTTGACATTTGGTGTGCACACCAGGCGGGTCACTTTCAATCGCTATCAGAGACTTCATTTCCATTTTCCAGCGAATGCCAATGTACTCGAGGTTGTGCTCCTTGAATATGACGCCCTGCCTCATCAGCCTGACTATGACGGAGCGCACTAGTTCGCCTATATATAGTGTGGATACACATTTCTCGAAGAGCCGGTAGCCGGGGTTGTTGGTTTCGAGATCAAGCGCCTTGTCGAACTCATTGCGAATAAAGTCGAGATGAGCATTCTCGCCATACCTGGCCATGTCGCTGTTGATAATCATATACGGCTTTGTGACGTCCCCTTCAAACATTTGGCAATTATCTGTTTCCTCGACATATGCGGCATTTGTAAAAGTGCCCACAATTAGTCCAATCTTGCAATCGGGATAGGACCATGCTAGTGCCATCAGCGAGCCAACGGCATCGTTCACGATCCCCACTATATTTACGGCGATATCTTTATGCTTTGCTACGGCCACACGCAACAGATCCACAACATTCTTACCCACTGCATTCTCAGCTCCGAAGCCGCGGGACCAAGCTACTAATATACCCACATCCAGGGCGAGCTTTTTCATAGAAAATGTAAAGGCAATGCCCATGGGTAAGTTTTCCTTTTCTACCTTCTTGTCCCTAACAAATATAGCAATGTTCTCGGCCAAAAAATTAAACAACTCATCTCCCCGACCGGCAGCTACAGTGTACGGTATTACAACGGCTTTGGATGACATATATACATCCTTTTCGTTGCCAAACTTGACAAGCATGATCCGACAGTTGGTGGGCCACATTTCAAGCGCCAGAAAGCGACCACGTTCCCTACCCGTCGGCAAATCTTGCACGTAGGATAAGTGGCAGGGTATCGACGCGCGTGCATTCGTATCAGCATTCAATCCAGCCTTCACCTCCTTTGACATGCCGTTCATTATTTTGACCAAGTCCTCATCGCTAATAATGAATTGTTTGAGGATTTTATGGGCTTCGGGGAAAGCGGTTTCTGGATCTTCTACAGTAGCCATATTGGCGCGACAAAGGAACAAATAAATGAAAACAAATGACAGCTGCAGCGAGGACAACTTTTTCTAAAAATCCACAGGCCACATTACAATAGGGTTGACGTCGGTTTAGATATGCCAGATATTACCATATTGACATTTTTTGGCTGGATCTGTGGTTAATATAATAGGCAGAAGAAAGTGTGATAGGCTCACTGACAAGACAATGTCCATTGATCTGTTTGTCCGTTTCGCCATAATGGTCTTTTGACCAAGCCAATTCGAAGGTCAATTTTTATTTTTTTTTATTTTTTTATTTTTTTTTATTCCAAAAATTTTATTATATTCTTCCGCAAGCTTTTATGCGACTTCTTCATTTAGATTACCTGCAATTGGCAGCATCAGTTCATATTCCTTCCTAGTGGTGAAGTTTATCGAAAATTTCAGTGAAAGGCTTTTAGTTAAGCCGTTGACAGAACGATAAAGGGAAGACTCAAGCAGAAGAAATGAAATTTAAGCGGTCGCGGTTGATTTCGATATTAGTGGAGTTGTTAAAGAAAAGATAATGTTTTAATGGAAAGAAAAAGTGTTGGAACATAGTCTCCTATAATTTCTTAATGATGGGTGGACAAACGGCCATTGTCATTTGGATTCGCCTTGGCACGCTGATAGATACATATGAATGTAACTATAACACGTGATCTTCCATTCTTCCTTCTGGGTGTTCCGGATGTACACACCAAAAACAATATGCCCTTACCCTTTTCAATGAAGAAATAAGTTAAAATAAAATAAAAATATAAGCAAAAGATTTTAAGAAACTTAAACTTTTCATACTAAAATCTTTGGCGATTATATGAAAAATCACTAATCACCGAAACAGCTTGCGACAATCAAAAATTTCATGGGGATTATGAATAAACGTATCCAGAAATTAAGAAAATCTTACTCTCAAAGAAATCGGAAATATAGTTTAGGAGATATAAGCACTTGAAACTCAATTTTATGCAAATACTTCATCTTTCAAATATAATATTAGCTGATGTGTTGATTTGTATTGCTAGGCGTATTAATTTCATGAATATTTCTTTACAATATAAGTTTTAGCAAACTACCTGTTTTTAGGGTATATTTTAACCTTGGTGGAAAATAAAAAAAAGTACCCTTTAATACATCGCCCATATTTTCACAATATGTTCCCGAGTTATTCCTTCACCTATCCCTAAAAACTTTCACCCGCCCGGATCCGCCGGTGGCAAAGAAAATCCACATATTTGAGCACATATTGTACAGTTCTTGGAAATCATGGCACAATTCGGGTTTGAAGCTTACGAATTTCTCTTTCCAACTAAATTTGCTTGATGAAAATATCTTTATCCGTTCAGGAGATATGATTTTTGCAACGAAAACAGTCAGAAGGCCCCACTGTGCGACGGCTACGAGTCGTTCTACCATCGTTCCACAATGCCAAAGTGAGGTCCATTATCGGCGAGGTGCTTCATAGTTCTCATCGAGATTGTAAACTTTTCCACGGAAATATCACTTCGCATCTGCCAACAGTGAGGAGAGGAGAAGACAACCTACCTGTGAGCAGAAAGTCCTTCGATTACACAATTAAAAGTTGTTTGATTTTTGCAATGAACGAACACAGTGTGCTTTATTTACATACGTAACGAAAATGCTATAGAAAAATGCGGTTGCCACAATATACTTGTAAGTAGTAGTTGAGGCCCTACTAGATTAGTTAAGAAGAACATAGACAAATGGGGCTGTCCGAGCATAAGAGACTTGTGCAATTTCCAGCTATTTATGACACAATGAATTCCGCCGTATGCAAGCTATAGCTAGCGTGAGGTTAGGAGACGTACTACTTGTATTACTAGGTTACTCTTAAGCTCAAGAAGTACATAAATATAATCCTAAATTTATTTATATATGTATATTTCAATAACAATAAATATAAGTAGTAGGGAAAGGCAATGCGACGCGGTCACGTGAGAAATAGGTCCAATGAGCTAGCTTCCGGGAAACCTGTTTGCAGCAAATCGCTGAATGGACTGAAATTGTCCAAGGCAGCGAGCGGGCTAATGCAGGCGGATGGCTGCTGATCGCTTCCAAAATCAAACGAATCGGCCGAGGAGTCCAACAGACGTAAGCTCAGCTCCACATCTGCCTTGTCTAGGGAGCTCACGGATATGGGCATGTCCCCGCGAGAGGGTAGCAGAGTCGGATGTGCTGTGGCGGTGGTTGTTTCGAGCAGACTATGGTAATTGGGGCTGAGGCAGGGCAGCGATTCGCCATCCGATTCGAGCAGGAGCGAGTTCAATTCGGAAAGCTCATGCATGCCCCCTAAAATGCTGTCAGCATCGACCGCTGGACAGCCATGATCGCTGCTGGTGGAGTTTGAGGAGGAGAGCGAGGCATACGCCGAGCTGGGCGAGCAGGCAGCGGTGCAGGACACGGGCGAGCCTATGGAGGAGCTGGCGTAACAGGATTCAGGGGACCGTAGCGTCTGCGTCTTCGGCTGTTTGGCCTGACGTTTCGCAGCCGTCTTTTTCGTGCTACTGCTCTTGGGTGGCTTCTTTGTCTTCACGGGGACGGGTTCGACTTCTGGCTCGGTGGGTACGTGAGGCTCCCTTGTGGCACTCTCCTTCAAACACTCCACAATGAAGTCGCTCTCATAGCTGGGATTCTCCAGCGACGCATTCAGCATGCGTATATACTTCATGGCCAGTCGGAGCGTTGTAATCTTCGTGAGCTTCTCGTTGGCACTGGCGGGATCGTCGCCTGTGATCGCCTGCGGCACACAGTGGCGCAAATGCTCGAAAGCCGTGTTTATTTCGCGCATGCGTGTTCGTTCACGTGCATTCGCCGTCTTGCGACGGTATTTGCTGAGTGGTGCCGCTTTCGTTTTGGCCTTGGGCGTGGATTTGTTGCGCGAATTCGTCGTCGTTTTCGCCGTCGTGACTGTCGTCTGTGCCATTGCCACTGAGCTCGCTGTGGCCATGGTGGGAGCAGCTAGCGTGGGCAGATCAGCAGCTTGGGGCATTGCCTCGTTGGGATTACGCGACGCTGGATTACGTCGCTTCTGACGCAACGAGTACTTCTCATTGCGCCGACCGTTGGATGTGTTGTTGGCCTTGCGCTTGTGCCCCGACTCCTTGAGTAGCGTTTCCGGGGTCGTCATTGCAGTCGTGGGCATGGACAAGCTCAGATCCGCGTAGTTGTGCAGCTCGTAAGTGTTGGACTTCATCTGTAAATGAAGGCAAGGCATAAATCTGTTATTAGTCTTCAAACTGACATCATTGGCACTTCCCCAGCACAAAGGCGTGCCAGATCTAAATACTAAATGGTGCCTAAGAGTTGTAATGGGGTCTTAGATGCTTGACTACACGGCCACCACTTAAAATGCCATTTCGTTCAATTGATTAATTTGATTGCTGTCTTGAAAAATGTTCCCAGCAACATTCGCTGCTGCGTAGGCTTTGCCAACCAAGCAAGCAATCAAAAGCAATTAACAAATTGTTCAAGTTGCCCAAAAAATACAGTCTCCGATCTAGACTGTTTACGCTGCACACAGCGCAATCGTCTTGCCCAATGATGCGTAACAACTGTTAAGCCCGTCGGCCAACTTCCGTAAACGGTAACAGAATTGGGGCTTTACGCATGCGCCGCAGCGTGCAGTGAACTGAAGTCTTTGGCAGTGGGTGGGTTTTGTTTCCGTTGTCATTGCGACGACTAGAGCCATAAAAGTTACTGAAGCCGAAAAACCAAATAGTCATAAACAAATTTATTCTTTGCGTCGGGGTGCGCTTTATTTGAGTTGATCACTAAATATTGCGCAATCCCAAAAGTGAATTTCAAGCAATCGTGTTCGTTATTCATGGCGAACAAGTACGAGCATTTATTTGCCTCTTAAAGAACAGAAGTGCTGATTGAATTTTCAGTAATGCTTTGGGAAGATAATTTTCAATTAATTCTCATTTCTAGCAAAAATAAAACAAAAATTTATTTTCTTAACAAATCAATGCAACTAACTAAAAATGTTCACTGCTGGAAGAAACCAACTGTTTTCATATAAAAGCATTTGTTGAATTTATGTCTACATTAAATAAATTTACCTACACAAACTAGCCTGAAGGCCTTAGTTGCTTAATGAATGAACATTGCAGTTTATGATTGATTCTAAGTTACAAATGTAAATAAATTCAATCAGTTTATTGTTTTCAGCTTAGCAGCCTTCAATTAATATTAAAATATGTGACTTCAATATTCCAAAAGTCGAAAAGTCGGTCGCAAGAACATTTCTGCAACAGAATTTATGTTACATTCTGTAAATGATGTATTTCAATATACACGGACATGATGTATTTTCTTTACACACTTTGTTCTTTATTGAATTACTTTTGTTCTTGTGTTCAACTATTTTCTTTTACACATACAAGTACAAGAATTTACATACACGAATTTATATATTTATTAAAAGAAAAACGCACTAAAAGCTTAAACTTCAAAACACTGAGCTATACTTTAGTTGTTAACTGAAATCACAATACACATGTCTGCATAACTCTGCGCACACACCAAAAAACAAAACTTATTTCAACTGAAACTGTTTTTTAATTTTTTTTGTATATTAAATATATTTTTTTTAATATTGAGTAAGCATTAAATTTTTTTTTAAAAGAAAAATTGAATGAAAAATGCACCCACAAAATTCTGCGTACACATGGTTTTTAATGCAAATTAAATGGTTAACTGAATTTATAACAATCCCTCTCTTTGAAGGACATTTGCCAGATGTCCAGGCATAGACTACACGAACTGTACATACTTGTACATAGTCGTACATCGTATGTATAATAGGTGGAGGCCCTCAAAAGAAACACAGCATTACTAAGAAGAATCTGTTGGACGAAATTGACTACAAATCGAAATAAAAGTAGCAAGAGTTCCAATAATGTGTAAAAATAAATCTAATGTTATTTTTATTTATTTTATTATTTTAATTCAACATTTTAATAATGGAATTAGAGATATGCATATATTTACTTCTAGTTTTATTTTTTTTCTTTGGTTACGAATCCAGGTAGACCAAATATTTGACATGCAATTCATTTCATTACAATGTTGTTGAACAGTGAGAAAGTTTTGCAACTTGTTATGGGTCGGTCGACTGTACTAAACATTGTATTTTCGTCGTTACTTTTTCCCCACAATGTTTTTGCGGTTGCGTTGGTGAAACTGCTCGCAGCAACAGCAACAGTAATAGTAACAATAGCAACAACAACAACAACAACAACAGCAAAAACCATTAATGAATGCATTTAATGCAAGAATTAAGTTACATGAAATGTAACATGAAGCCGTCATAGCGTCATCGCAGCCACTACGACCACCTAGCTACATATACATATAGAAATATATACGTATGTGTGTATGCATGCTTGTATGGGTAGTAACATCAGCAACAGCAACAACAACTACAACAACAACTCGTTGCCTTCATACTTGTACAAAACGTCAAACGTCAAATGTTTCTGCACTGATGCTAACGCCCTTGCCGGCTTGTATTGCGCCTTGGCCTCATAAATGTTGCCCCCCTGAGCCTGTTTCAAAGAGGTGTGAAGAGCTTGATTGCATGGGTGTAGGGGAGTGGGCGCGGAACGGATTGACGGACAGAGAGAGAGAGAGAGAGAGAGAGAGAGAGCTGGTAATACATGCCAGCCTCACTTAAATGGACAATTTAGTGCATGCTGCCAAAATTGGCATCAGATTCTTGCAGTTGGCCTGACCAACAATTGCCCGTTTACGACCTGCTATAGCCCGCTTGGCACTTGTTGCACTGTTTTGGCCATTCAAGAACTTGCGCCAGCAACTAGTTGTGAGACGTCCATGCCGTTGTTGGCGTTCGAATCGCTTTGTATCTGCACTGCCAGTGCAGCACTTTTATTCGATTACCGTTAATGTGTCTGAAATGTTTGCCCGACAACTTCTCGTCATCGACCAAGTTGTGGTGTTGCTTTGACTTAAGCCAGAATAAGCCAATTGCCACTGTTTCGAGTTGAAGTAGTCGCAATGGCACCCAAATGATCCACAAATCAAATAACTCAATACCAATTTCATATACACAATCGAATATATATACTTAGAAAAGTTATACAGAATTAAAACTACGGCTGTTTTAATTTAAGATTTTAATTTTCAACGCATTAAATACAACTGGTGTGGTATGGTTTATAGGGATGGATAGGAAGTTAAGATTCTAATAAAACCATTCTATCTGGAGACCATTAAATATATTACTATAAGCTAAAGAAAAGCCGAACAAATCTAGAAAGAATCTATGAAACAGCTGTACCGATCTGCTAATACTTGTATTAAGCAACTGTTTATTTATTTATTTAGCCAGATAGCTGAAATCAACCAAAACTGGAACTGTAAAGCCATGAAGATTATTCCCCCACTTCCGCGCAACACATACTGCAGCAGTTGTCTATTCTGACACAGATCTGATTTTGAAAGCAAACCATTTGGAATGTAAAGTAAATTGAATCTTATAGAATGTGTTCTACACCCACTCGCTCGATTATACGTTTCCCTAACACATTAGAAATTAGACTAATGGTCTTGGCTCAAACCGAAACAAAAATGCCAAAAGTGACAAATATTATACCCGTTTGTATTTGAAATCTTAATGAAATATATTACGTAGAGCCGCAAAACAATCGATGTTGACTGCATCTATCTTTTTCGATTTTTATTCCGATTTTCTCAAAAAAAGGAAATCGTTAATTAAATTAAATTATTGAATTAAATTTTATTGTCATTTTACATGGTATTCTACATTACAAGTACTAGGTCCATTTCAAGTAATGATATGACTTAATACGATTAATTGAGTCTCCAAGATCACATCGATTTTTTATTAGCCAAGACTTAAATCTATTCTTTTTGCAACTCTAGTGCCACAGTTAATTAACTTTTCTGGTCTTCGTAGATATTGCTACAATTTTTAAGAGTTCAACTACAAAAAATTTCCTTTGTTTCCATTAAGCTTTGATTTGACAAATAATTAAATTCTGTTATTTTAGCGCCGTTATTTTGTCATCTCGGCCGTTCTGTAATCTTACCCCACAGGGCATGCAATTTTTCAACACGTTCAGGTAGAGATTCAGTTTGTGTTTTTAAGTGCCTGCTTGGGCTGGATTTTTTTTGCTCGTTTGCACAATTAAATGTTTGCCACGCGACGTTGTAATAATAAAACCAAACCAAATGGAGACCAATCGGCTTGGGGATACCCTGTACTTTCTATAATATATATGTAATTTAAAAGAATATATACTGAACACTTACAATATTATAAAGAAACTGATACATTAATAGTTATAAATATTTAAAGGACTGATATGGCAGTACGAATCAAATCTGGCAAACTTTTGCAAAGAAGCGTTTGAATAATTTGCTAAATGTGGGCCGACCCTTTCGTTGATTGGCTATGAAACCCTTCCATAAGAAAAATGCTATAACTTATTTCTATTCATAAAAAGTAGTCTGATGTATAACAAAGTTTCTCTTATCTGCTAAAATTATTTCTATTCCTAAAAAGTAATCTGATCTCCAAAAGGACCCTCTTACAAGATGTGGAATATGATCATATCTTGGGGCAATTAAATATGCTTCTTCTAGACCTTGCTCAATAAGTCATTCTATATTTAAAATAACCAGGTTATTATGAGGTCTGTGTGTGACAATAATTGCCACAAAACTGATGTACGCTTATACCCTTTGAGTGTGGAACGAATAAGCTGCCGTGCGACTTGTGCAACATGCAACAAACAAGACGTAATTAACAGCACAAAATAAAAAATAAAAAAATCGCCTTGGCCCAGCGCCTTTGCTGAGTCCAGAGTTGGGTTCTTACTTGTTGCAACGTGAAAATTGCCAAGTTCCGTGTGGCGAGAAAAAGCGCGGCAACAACTGCTGCAACAAATTGCATGTGATTAAACGTATTCGCGGCTAATAAATGTTGTTCAACAACAACATCAACAGCAGCAACAAAAGCAACAAATCGTACACATACTACAACAGGCAACAGCCTGCAAATGGCGTGCGTGGGCGTAGCTGGCAGGATGTGGCCAGGAAGCGGCACAGGAAGCGGCGCCAAGCTTGCTTATCGACGCCTCCGTTTTGATGTTGAAGTATTTTGCCTTTTGTTGATTGGGAAATTTGAAATGAATTTTCAAGGGGTGGTGCACCCGCTGCTTAATTTTTCAATTATTCGACGGTGGCAGATGCACGACTCTATAAGCGGATGCACAATACGAAACCAATTGAAATGCTAAGCTTTCTGCACACAACAGACAAAAGCAGCCAACAGAGTTGTGCGTTCTGGTTCAATTAAACAAACAAATACAAGATGGGCAGAAAACACATTAAAAAATCATTGTGAAGGATATTTATCTTGATACTGAAAGCAAACTTGGAGCGCGAACTATGAGTATAAATACATTATTCGGATTTCGTTACATTATTTAGGAAATTTATTACTACAATAGCATTGGACTAACTACATAAATATACTTAATTCCGCTTTACACGAATTTGATATAACAAGGTTTAAAAATTAAAAATATAAATATATATACTTGTATATGCCTTTAGAGATAAGGAACCAATCATATATTTTTGCATATGATCAATGTCTTTTTTTACACTGTTGTTTCTGGAACCAATCTACCGTGTTAAAACAGATTTAGGTGTAAATGTTAATGATCATATTTTTAGTATCTTAAAACAAAAATTGAAAATAGGCGCGCTTAAAACATAGCTTGCAACGCAGGCACTGTCGCATAATTCCAAATGCTCAGTAGATGCCAGAAATCACGCCACGGAAACGAAATTATCCGAATGTTGAACATGAGTTGAATATTATGCCAGTAGAAACTTATATTATAAATTGAAGCATAAACATATGTTCTTATATTTATTAGAGGTTCAATGAAAGTAAGCGAAGGAAGTGGAATACAAAACATGCCTGATGATTTATCTCTAAGCCATGAATTCTCTATTGAGCATATTCCAATTACATAAGTACAGTTTTAAAGATTGAAATAAAACCCATATTTTGTAAGGATGTAGTCTTCTCACTTGGTTAAATATACATATGTATAATCGTCTATAACTAAAATTCGATCTCGATTTAATTCCTTCTAAATTTAAAATCTTTTTTGCTTGTTCCTTTCTTACCGTCAAGTAGTCCCATTTGTGTTAAAGTTTCCCTTTGAATCTTTTATTCGATCTCCAATCTACATTTCGTTTTATGATAGAACGCACTCTTATTTTTGATATTTATAGTATTATTACTCTTTCTAAGTATTCAGCCTATTTCATTCCAAACATTGAAATTAGTTGGTAGTATGACTAAAACTTGTCCTGTTCTATTAAATTTGTATGGATTTTAAACAAATTTTGTGAATGAACATGTTTTCCGCACTGTAACATAATGCTTGCCAACTCTAAGAACTAGTTCCAGGTGAACTCGTTCCAACATGAGCATACGCATGCACTCTCGATTGAGCAGACCAAAGGCGCGGCGCGGCACGGTGCGGCCCGGCGCTGTGTGCGTGCGGCCAGCCGTGAAGAGACAACACCCTGCCTCCCCCACCCAACCGACAAGCTGCCAGCCCATCTGCTTGTTGTGGTGGGCGTTCAAATTTGGGCGCTGCTGGGTAACAGCCTACGAAAAGTGCACTTGAAACTGATGCCGCCAGTGGTGCTGTTGTTGTTGTTGCTGCTGCTTGGTTGTTTTGTTGTTGTCTTTGTTGTTACTGCTGCCGTTGCATTTTTAGGTGTAGCCATTAAATTTAGAACTTTTCTCTTTTTTGCCAGTCAGTCGGACGTTTTGGCCTGGCATGCCATGCCACGCTTGCCTGCACGCCAGACAGCCGGCAAAAAGAAACTGCAAAAGTATGTTCGGCTGCAACGAAGCTATGTACCCTTCACTAAATCCTGGATTCCAGATAAGCTAAACTTTTTCATTTAAATTGATAATTTGCAAATTGAAAATAAATCGATCAAATAGACTGCTCCCCATTCAATAGGCTATACAAATTAGAGGTTTCGAAGGGTTTCAAACGGTTATTAACAGTTTTTACACGCTGTTATATCACACAGAATATACTTCCCAGGTTGAAGTGAAGGGTGTTATAATAAAAGCTGGCATGGGTCATACAAGTAGATAGATAGTCGGACGGTTGTGCGGTTAAATGGAAAATGAAGCGTCTGCTGCACATGAACATCTACTCGTATGCACAAGTATATGCATGAAAACAAGCGCTTGAAAAAGCACAAATACACACACAAAAACACAAACACACACACATACACACATACATGCGAAGCTTCTGTTCTTGGCATGAGTTTTGCCACTGCTCTAAAATTAGTTTTTATTGTAGTATGATTTTTCTCGATTTGCGATTTTTAATTTGCTTTTTACCGGTCTGCCTTCGTGAAAAGCGTCAAATCCTGTGCCGTATACGAGAAAATTTATTTAGTCATCGTTGTTGCTGTTGTTGTGGTTGTTGTTGTTGATGTTGTTGATGCTTCTGTTGCTGTGTGTCTCGTGCCGATTACTTCTTTGTTTGTCTCGTGTGCCGTGCTGCTCACTGCCTTTATTTTTAGCAGCCCTGTGCTGTTTCTTCTATCGTGTGTTTCGTTTTTCATTCCATTTTGCATGTATCTTTTAATTTTTTATACTATTTGCTGCCTGCTTCAAATAAATTTGTTTGATTTTCCATTTACGTTGAGTTTGTTTATTGAAATTGGCACACTGTGCGTATGTGCGATGTACGATGTTTGTGTTTATGTTTAAGGCAGAGTCGCACACACACACATATGCCTATATGTGTGTGTGTGTGTGTCTGTATACTCGGATATTTTGGTAGCACGGTACGGTTTTGTGTTACCCATTCGCTTTTGATTTGTGCGATTTTTGACAGGTTTTCGTCTTTTTTATTTGCCTAATTCATTTTGATCTTTAGGACAGCTGGTTTCCCCATTGGATTTTTTTACACACACAAACAACAACTATACATATATCAAAGTTAATATGTGCCAATGTCAGCAGCATCTGCTTAGATAGTATGGATTTAAAATTAAAGCTTTTGGCTGATTTATGCATGCCAAATTATAATATCGGGCGCTTTTGATGGTATTTTAATGCTTTTCCCAAGCACCATCCGTAGATAATTGAATGAAAGTTGTCCTGAGACCTTGTGCTATTCAAAGTATTTGTTCGATGTCGCAGTTAATCATATACTAACCATTTATTTTTCTTATTTATGCAAATTGATGTGTGAAGCTGCCTTGACTAGTGTGTGCTGCCACTCTGGCTAATAACCTCTATAATCCATTCAATTCATTGATATGAAACAAGGCTATAAATACGGTGCACAAGGCTTTTATAAGTAATATTATTTCATTATATTCACTACTCTTTCGATTCTTGTGTGCCAAAAGGATTTATTCATTTGATCTGTGCCGGAGCACCCCTTAAAAAAACTTTATTTTATGCATCAGTATGTAATTTTGGGCTTGCAGATTGAGTTCGAATTTGGTAGCTGTGTTTAAAAATATTCCAATAAATAGTACTGTTTATTTAGATAAATAGTACTTTCATTCTGTATGACATCCGATCCTGATTCAATTCTAGCTTATTTGAAAGTAATTTTCTAGTTCTATCAATATCCTGATTTTCAACTAGCTTAAGCTGCCATATTGGTATCAGAATACTAGTATATTAATATAATACATTGTACATATATAAATGTATATAAAAAGAAAAATCAATATCATGAGCTATAGTATATCCCAACATTTTTAAAAGTTATCTGCTAGTTTTCGGTTACAGAGAAAGAATAAAGTTTTTAACAAAAGTTATATTCCACTTAGCTATTTCCAAATAATAGCATTATATTTTTGAGAACTGAAAGTTATTCAATTAAATGCATTAAAATTATCCAATAATATAAAAATTTTAACAATTAATCGTATTTTTTTTTTTTTTAATATGACTAGATGCTGCTGAAGCAGAATAAAATGAAGAGAGTGTTTATCAATTATTTACTTCCGTTTTCTTCCTCTACACTCTGTACTTATGCAACATCGGCTACGAACTTAAATTCGATGGTTATAACACAAGGATTTAATAGTTTGATGAGTTGCTTTTGCAGGAGTATGATTTAATGGGACGTATGTAAAATGTATGTGAATGGAATAAAATTTTACCCTATTCCGAGCAGGTTTAATCTTAGATAGAAATAGTGGAATCTTGAATCTTTGAAAAAAAATAGACACTAGTTTCTGGGGCTCCTGCTCTATGGAATTAACTATTTACTTGTGAATATTTCCAATTATAATTATACATAGTATAAGTAGTAATTAAAACGTTTTAAAATACACTCATAAAGGAGCATTTATAGATCTCATTAGGAATCCTAGGCTGGTTTAGTTTCTGGCGCTTCATCTCTACGCATAACAATTTATAACAATTTTAAATTACTAAGTTAACTATGATTTTATAAGATTAAAATGTTAAAATGTTTTAGTATTTATTGCTGGTTGAGGACGAAAAAATTGGCTAGATATCATTTGAAATTGTCTGGTAGCATATAAGAAGTATCCTGCACTCATTTTTCCATAATTGAAGAGTTTTTGTAGAAAACCTCACATAAAATGTGATGTTTTAACATAAATACAGAACTTGTTTTAATATAGTAGTTGAAAAGTTGCTGTCGTTACCGATTTGTAAACAATTAGACGGCAACGAAGTTGCAGAGTTCTCATCCCCACCCTAGGCCCATTAGTCATCTATGCAGCGGTCCGGAGCACGGACAGTTTAAGTTATTGCAACCTGACAAAACATTTCGGCACCTCAAACAAATAAATGTGTTCGACGTCTGCCCAAAAATTGACTCAACAAGAGGGTGACTGGGCCCTGATCTGCTTCCCACTATGCGGGAGGTGGGTGGCAGCCTCCGGCACGGCGATTACCCAAGCAGCGATCTAAGATGCCTTTGTCTATTTTTATTGAAGAAATAACAGAGTCGGAGGAATTTTTATATTTACCTTTTTGATTTCATAAATCCAAAAATATGTGATGCTGCTACTGGCGCTGTTCTTGTTGTTGTTGCTGCTGCTGCTTTAGCGTTGGGCGCCTGCTTTAGTTGTTGTTGTGTTTATCTCTTTTTTGAGATAGAGTATGTGTACGCGTATATGGGGGGATCGTGTTGTTGCAGTTGACGTTTTTGATTTAAGTATGTATTTATGAAAGACTTTTGTTATTATTTTAGCACTGCTATCAGCTGGGAATGGCAAACTGATGATGATTTGCTGGTATTTTATTTTAATTTCTTATTCGGTCAATTTGCTTATACGAGTTAGCATCAAAACGCGCTTCTATATATGTATATATATGTATACAAGTATATGTATTTTTATAATTTCTGGTTCAATTTAAATTCCGCCGAAACGACTAATTAGTCACTCGGCGAGTCACACTGCTCGTCATATTAGTTTTTTCATTAACTTTTTGTATTTGTGTATTAAAATTTAAATTTAAATTAAGATTTTCGCTTTTTTGTTTGTTGTGTTGTTTGGTTTTGTGACTATATTTCAGATATACGCTGGTTTCATGCATAAATTGAACACAAACAAAAAATTTGTTGCTTATCTGTGCTTTTATTTCGGAATTTTTTATTTCCTCGAACGTTGATTTATAAGCAAACTTGTTTATTGTTTTGCTGAATTTTTGAAAATCAATTTAAATGTAGCTGATTTTCGATACTTGATAAATAAAGCTCGTTGGCATAATGGTTTTTTGATTGGCAGACTTTGTTTTGCAATTGAATTGCAAGCAAGTATCGTGCCCACTCACACACACACACACACACACACGCGCGCGTTTAAAATTGATATAAATATGTAGAGGGTATGTGGATGCTTGTATTCTTCCGGCAATGCGAGCCTTTATATTGACACTCGGCGCACTCGGCAACAACAAAATGCACAGAGAAAGCATAAAAACGTTCCAAAACGTGGGATCTCCGAAGATACGTTTGCAGGCCGGCAGCTAAAAATATCTATGAGTATGCGCCGCATGCGTGTACACGACGATGTTGCTGGCGATTCCTCAGCTACTTGTGCTGTATCTGTATCCAATAACCCGAGTACAAAAATATATATTGCCCGCCTGCTTGGAGAAAAGTGCGTTGTTTCTAGAGGAAGATGCCTCTGAGGTATTGCGTCCGCTTGCTGCGCTTGTCCGCTGTGCACTGAGCACTCGGCGCTGCTGCTGATCACAGCCAATGCCGTCAACTGTCGCCTCTGATGTTGGTATGTTGTGCGAGTATAGAAGTACTATGTTGGCGTTGCTGCTGTTACCTTTGCCGGCATCAAGCAGCACTAGCCTGACTTTGACTCCGTTAGCCAAATTCCAAGCTATTGCCGCTGCTGCTGCTGCTGTCCAGCTATATTCTGTCAGTCAGTTAGCCAGTCAGTCAATCAGCCAGGTGAGTAGGTGAGTAGGCTTATTTGAAACGCTGGTTGCCCACACACGCGCACATACAAAATATACGCTTTGGGGCACTTGTTGACTGTTGCGCTTAGCGTGCGGTGCGCTATTGAAACGATCAATGAATGAAATGCGGCATTAAAAAGCACCAACTTACGTATCTTTAAGATACGACTTGAGCCAGCTAGCCAGCTACCCAGCCAGCCAGCCAGCCAGTCAGTCAGCCAGCCAGCGAGCGTACGACCAATAAACCGAGAAACCCACATCAACGACAACGCTCGTTTGCAACGCCAACACAATGTAACGTCATTGAAAGCGAGCAAACCAGTTCTCAGCTCTCTCCGCGCTCCATGCTCACCCACTCAATGTGTGTGGGTGTCCCCTCTCTGAGCTGTTTGCGTTGGCGCCCTGCCTTGCCTTGCCGGCTGATCAAGCTCTTGAGTGAGTTTTTTTTGTGTGTTCCTGCTGCTGTTTGTGCTGATGTTGTTGTTGTTGTTCGATCTGGCATTTGAATTTCGTTTTCATTTCGAGTCGTTTGGCATTTTCTCAATTTGTTTTTTATTTTTTCATTTTTGTGCTATTCACTGAGATTTGTTTGGCGCTCAAAGCTGTTTGAGCGCATTGCAGCATGATCTAATATTGCCAGGCAGTTATTTATTTAAATTTATTGCTAATTTTTTATTTATGCTGCTGCTGTGGCGTTTGACATTCATTTATATAAGTCAAACATTGTTAAAAAACACATTTATACGCATGTATATTCCATACAAGTATCACTCTGAGCATTATGTCCATAGACGTACTAGTTGTGATGACACCCATCAAGTACTACTCGTATTCGTTGTGGCTGTGCTTGAGGAAAATTTTGGAGAAGAGCTTCTTAGTTCACTGCGGCACATGAGGAATTTAAATATTTGAAAATGATTTATTTTAATAGTATTACGCTAATGCTGGTTAGATATGATTTCATATAACCATATTTCATATTTCCAGAGGTTAAGAAGGCAAGCAATTCAAATTTAATTTAGCAAAAATGAACTTAATATCTTCATTAACAAACAACAGGGTTAGGTTACTAATATGTCCTGCCTATATACTAAACATTATGATTACTCTAAACTAGACCTTTCCAGCTAGCTTGCTAATCAAATACAATTGACAATTATTAATTTTGAGCTGAATTGTGATTAAAGATTGTGATAAAAAACATTAAAATGTCTTTTCTCAATGAAAAGCATACAAGTATGTAGCTGTTGTTTTAAAGCGAACTTGTTGTATAGAAATCTATATTGTGAAAACACCAAATAATCAAGCAAAAAAAAAATTTGTTTTCCTCAAATTATGTTTACTTTTGTAGTATCTTAAAGATTTAATTATGTAATATTATTTAATCAGTGGTTTTGTAGCTGAGAACTTTTTAAGTATTTAGAGAGACTGAAAAGTGGGTTAAGCTGCAAAGAAAATATGTTTTTGAACTCGAGTGAATTTGTTAAATGTGGTTTACATATTATTGCTTTTCTAAATATTCAGCAGGCATAAGAAGAAGCAGAGCTTGTTGACGGATTACGAAACTACTCTGCAAACAGATCGCCAAAAGCCGGTAATACTGAGGAACAATTTGTGTCCATGTGGGGTTGTCAATGACGGTCAACTGGAACAACCCAATCTAACCTAATTAGTAATTGTAAATAATTTGAGACTTACATTCATAGTTTTTCCATATAATGTCAATTGCACTTTTATACAGTTACAATTTTTAAACATTACTTTATGTACAACTAGAAATACAAAAATTCGTAGTTGAAACTAGTCTGTCGACTTCTAGAGATGAGATTTGTTTTGTGCAACTTTAACTTTTTATTGACTAATATTTGTGTAAGTATTCTATTTGTGGCATAGATTGATTAAAGAAGCAAACGAAGGAATGAAAAGGTACATAAAAAATGGACCAAATGAACTTATGTTTATCAGTTGATTAAAGTATTTAAACTTATTTTATTTGGTTCACACGTTTTTGTATAAAACTTGAACTTTTAATGTAATACTAATATTTAAAAACATGCAACCTCACTAAATGTGATTCAACACGTGCACAAAGACTTAGTTTTTCGAATGCATTATGTGCATTGTGTTTGTTTCGTTCTTACAACCGATTGTTGAGATGGTATTCAGTTATAGCTAATTAAGAAACACCTCGGAAAAGTGTAGGATTAATTGCTATTAGTATTTAGGAATTTAGATTCGTTTAATGGTATAATGCTTTTAGGTGAAATACTGTTCGGCATATCGACCTAATGCGTAGTTAATTTTTCAATCTCGTATGCGCATTTGTTTTGTAATCTATAAAGCTGTCATTTATTTAATATGAAACAGAGCCCGATTTGTTTATTAGTTTCCCAGCTGGTGGTGATCGATTCTTGAATTTATAAGTTTGCTTCTAAGCTACAGTTGAGTTGATTGCTTGAGTTGTCTTTTGAGATATGGCGTTCCGGTCGCTTATAATTTGTGCTCGAACAATTACAATTAACAGACAATACAACAATTGCAAAATAGATTGGCTCCTGCAGGCAAATCAAGTTTTTTTGTACTGGTATACGATGACATGAGCAGTTATAGTCGTCATCGTCGTCATCATCTTAGGTCGTATGTCGCTCAACTCGATAATTTGTTCAACTCGAAGTCGGTTTGTTATTGTTGTCGTTTTTTGTGTCTGTGGCTGTCTGTGTCTGTCTCTATGAGCTGTGTGTGTGTGTGTGAGTATTACTTTTGGTGTTTTTTTTTTCTTAAGCAAATAAATCATGATGACAACAGTTAAATTAAATAATAATTTTTCAGCAGTGTTATAGCATAAATTTTCATGGCACAAGGTCAGAAATTTATGTGGAAGTCGAGTGTAAAATATGGCACGCAACATTAATTTGATTTGCGTGCGAAGTGTTTTTTTTTTTTCGTTTTCTTGGAAAGGAAATATAAGCTAAAACGCTACAAGATTGTGTATGTACGTATAAGTTGGCTAATACTTGTGACTGCTACTGCAGAGCTATAATTTGTTGACAACTTAATCAGTTGCCATTGAAAGAAGCAGCTAGCTGTAGAAGTTCGACTCTTTTTTTTTAGCTCTTTGTAAATTCTCTATAGAAACATGAGCAAGCGCGCCATAATTAAAAAAACAAACGTCACTTTTTAATGTTTATTTTATGGGAAACTATTAATACCATATCAACAACAACAAATTGTTGTTGTGAGGTAGTAGTTGTTGCTGGGGCCCGCTCAGTCGCAGCGCAAATTGCTTATGCAAATGTTCTTTGTGATCATTTGAATTCACTACTCGCTGTGACTTTTAATTACCAGCGGCTCACAAATCGTATTTGCCTTTATATGGTCAAGGCGCAAGATGGGGTACTCGTACTGAACTGAACGTTCGAGCTCTAGACCGAGTCGGGCTTAAAAGCTGAGCTGCCTTGCCCGCTTAGGAAGTCTGAGAAACGATTGGCCTTTTATGGACTGCATCTGCATTGAGAAAGCAGCAATGGGAACACACTGTTTGAGAAAGCAACCATTGAGTCAAATGAGTTAGCCAGTCAGAGTCAGAGGCAGAGTCAGTCAGCCGCTAATTGTTGT